CACACACACACACACACACACACACACACACACACACACACACACACTAAATAACACTATAAACAAACAGGAAATGTAAATAAACTGGGCCCTGGAACTTCTGTGTACATCTGATATAACCTGGGGTGTCTTGTCTGGGGCTATGCACAAATTTCCAAACAATTTCAGCTACTTTGGACCCTTAATAGCCCACATGGATAGGTCCATTCCCAAGCCAAGGAGTGTTCTCTACATTCGAACAGCTGGGACAAGGAAAAATAGGGAAAAGCCAAGGTAACTGGGAATGGAAGGTTGAGCCTGGAATAAGTCTGTCATGCTAGCAGAGACTGGAGGGCCAGGACTCACCTGGTGGGCAGGAAGTGGGGCACAGTCTGGGACTTCAGTAGATAGAACCATGCAGTCTGTCCCCAGTGAAGCAGCTGCAGTGGGCAACAGACTGGACTGTCTTCAGGGACCACTACCCATCTCATTCTTTGCAAGCTTAGCGGGGATACCCCATCCCCCATTTCTCTGACACGATTAAGGACTTGAAAGGTGACAGGTGACATGCAGTTTGCTTTGGAGGTTGGGGAAGGAGCGTTACTGAGGTGGGGGCTGGCTGGTGGGGGCTACTGGGGACTTCCAATGAGAGCTGCCACAGCAGATTCTGAGGCAGAAAATCCTATTTCTCAGTCCTTAATTCCAGTCAATTCCAGTCAAAGGGCTGATAGGCATCGCCGGCAGTAATTTGTGCAGCCTATCCGCTCTTTTCACCTTCTGTCGGCCCCTCACTGACGGGCAGGCCGACATGCTGCTGTTCGAGTGAGGAAATTAAAATTTGATGCAATAATCCTAAATAAGAAGGATTTTATTAGGTAATATATACACTTTAGATGAAGCTTGCTAGCCTGATACACTGATAGAGGGTGGCATACATGCTGGGAGCCACAGATAAAGAGGGGGAGCCAGGAGGGTGGGGCAGGTCTTGACAGGGCCACTATGAGCAGCAGAGACAGGGCTGGGTGTGAGGGATGCCTGGGTCCCCCAGCCTGGGGTACTGAACAGGCTGTGCTGCCCTGGCCTAGCTAAGGAGTGAGTGTGTGAAATCAGCGTGTCACACTGAAAACAAAACAAAACAAAACATGGAGATCCAGATCAAGGCATGGAAACTGATTAGCAGCCTGGAGACATCAGCCTGGCGCATGTGGCAACTGGCTTAGGGGAGAAGGGCTGCAGGGGAGGGGAAAGTGGGGATTCCTTTTCCACTAGGGAGGTAGGAGAAGCAGATCCACATGGAGTCTATGGGGCTGCTCAATGCCCAGAAGAGGCTGGGAGCCAATCACTGCTTGTCTGTCTTCTTCAACTGGTCCACAACCCTTGGAAAAGTGCTTACCATGCCCCCACAGCATGGGTGCAGAGTCGCCCAGGGACTGGCTAGACAGTGAGCAACACAAGCACACAATGAAATGCTAAGATCTCTGAGCTAAGAGAAGACAAGCACATGACAAGTAGCAGAGGGAACATGAGGAGAGAGTGTGAAGGAAGACACACATCTGGTCTGCTCCATGGAAGCCTCTAGAAAAGAAGGGTATAACTTAACCTGGGTTAACTATCTAGGAGATGGGTGTGAGGCTAAAGTAGTGAATACGTTCGTGGAGGGACAGGGGAAGACTGATACCTGACATGCATAAGTTATAAGGGCATCCTATGGGGTCTCAGAGGAAGCCTGTGTCAAATACAGGATCTTGTGACTATCTTTTGAAGCAGTGGCTGAATACAGCATCCCATAGCTGACAGACCCACTGAGTCACCAGCCACCAGAGTTTGATATCTGTAAGAATCTTTCAGGAACCTCCTACCCTGCCCCATTCCCAGGGGACATATAGGTAGCAGTGTCAGGGCTTTTCAGGTTCCCTCTGGTGACCCAGCCAATGTGATGCCAGTACATACCAATCAAGTTGGCTTTGGCTTTAAGTATCTTCTGCACGCTCTTGGACACAGTGTGCTGAGAGACCCAAGTGAATCCTGTGTCAATGTTCCAGAGATGGGGCATCTTGGTTACTCAGAGATTAAAAGCAACCTAAGTTCCTGTGTAAACATTACACAAGGCTGGGATTGACTGTTAAGTCATTTAGCTTTGAAGTCAGTTGTATCACAGCAGAGAGGGGTGGCCGACTCTGAGGCTATTTAGGGACAAGCCAGGGAAAGGATCTAAGAAAGGAGGGAGAGAACTGGGGAACTGAAGGTCAGGTGGTCTGTGGGTTGGTTACAAAAGCAAGTACAAGGGTGACATGAATGCCAGAACCACCAGAAGGCTGGTATGACCAGACTATGTTCATTCATTCATTTATTCTACAGACACTCTCAAACTCCACTATACCATGCCAATCAAAGAATCCATTCCTGCTGTACCATGATACCAGGCAAGCATGACACCAGCAAATGCCAGTCAAGTCACTTTTGAGCTCTGAACACTCAGAAGGAGAAGCTCAGGACTGGAAACAGGTGATGGGCCTGAAAATGTCTGAAGATGGCAGTCAGTTTGGCATGAGGCTGAGATCAAGGCTTGCAAAGCTAGGGTTAGTAGCAGAAAGGATGGACAAGTCCCTGGATATGGGTGGGCTGAGTTCATGCAACCTGGTCTTCATAAGTTGGGAACATGATGTGCCTAGCATGCCAAGAAGGGAAAAGCTGGGAGTAGTGAGCTTGAGATCACTCTATCTGGTCTCCAAGCATCTTCAGAAACCTGCAGTAGCAAGAGCATAAGCATCTTTCTTGTGAGACTCTTCATTCCCCAAAGCAAGTGACCAAGTTCCACCTCCACACCTTTCGTGCCAAACACACCTGTAGTCAGAACAACCATTGCATCCAAACAGGACCAGGCTCCCCTAGCCTGTACTGGCTTAGGGACTCTGTCCACACCCATCTCCTCACGTTTGGGGCTTTGAGTAGTACAGGGGGCAAGGTGGGGTTCTGAACATCTCCAGCTTCCAGGGATCCCCTACATTCCCTCAGAGCTAAGTCCTTTTCTCTCTACAAATGCCACTCCCACAAGATGCATGTCGAAGTTTCTGTCTATTTAATGGGGATATACCCTGCTCTTCTTTGTCAGCCCATAGCAAGCATTCTGTTACAGTCTGTGGAAAGTGAGGTGGCTGCCAAGCCAGGGACACCCACTCTTAGTTTAGCCAGGGCCCTGTGGAGGGGACCATGATCCATTTTGTTCTGTGAGACCTTCCCCAATCACAGCTCGTTTGACCAGGTGCAAGCTGTGTACCCCTAGGGTAGTAGTTCTCTACCTGTTGGTTGTAACCTCTTTGGGGATCAAAGGAGCCTTCCACAGGGCTGCATAGCAGACATTCTGCATATCAGATATTTCTATTACAACTCATAACAGTGACAAAACTATAGTTATGAAGTATAAAAAATAATTTTATGGTTTGGGGTCACCATAACATGAAGAACTGTATTAAAGGGTCACAGCATTAGGAAGGTTGAGAACCACTACTCTAAGAGAACCAAAGGATAAGCTCCTGTGACCTAAATACAAAAGAAGGCATCTCCCTTGAAATCTGAACTTGAGACCCTCCAAAGAAAGAGCCATTACGAAAGGCAGATAGCTCCCAGAACAGCTTGGGCCTGAGAGAGGAGCCTCACAACAGAAAGAAAGCTGTCATTGTGTGTGGCACTCATGGCTGACAGTGGCAGCAAGTTCGTGGACGACATGACTAAGTAACATGGCTGTTTGGCTGAGCTTAGGTCCACATCCAGGCCCGGCACAGGCTGGAGTACTCATGGGCATCTGTGGACTGGAAGTTTTGGTTTCTTTAAAAGCCTAATTATGTTTTTTGTTTTAATCCCAAGTGTGGGATATGGAGTGCTTTTAGTTTATCTACCACAGATAATTGCCTCGTGAGGGGTGTGGTCTTTGCCTGCTGCAGTTGGTTTAAATTCTGGGGATCTGAAGAGGGTATAATTATGAAAGAGATGCCTTGAGGGACACTCAGAGGGAGGGGGAGGGAAAGAGAGAAGGACAAGGAGGGAGGGAGAGAGAGAGGATGCTTTGAAGAATGTTTGAGGAAAGGGACAGAGGAGGAAGGAGGCTGCTTTTTTTCCTGCTGCATTTGCTGTTCACCCTTCCTAAACTGTTAGATATCCTAATGACTGAGATTGGTATTTTCTTAAAGAACCCAACAACCCTAACCATCCAGAACTAAATCTAAAGAGGTCTATGTCCCCTGACCCATCTAACCTCCTTTCTCTCCTACCTAGGGTTGGGGGGTGAGGATTGGAAGGAAGGTAGAGGCGTAAGAAACCCCAATAAAGTAAAGTAGATAAAAAGTAGCACCTACACATTTGTGTCACTGTTCATGACTCTTTCTAAATCAGTTCTCCTACGTCCAGCCATACTTCTCTTTATGCCCCATGGTACCTTCTAGGGAGCAGGAGAGACACTGAAGATAGCGTAACCTGCAAAGTACCTGGGATTTCCACTGTCCCTCAGTCAGGGACTCCAGGCAGGGAATGGCCACCGCTGGGGCTGGGGGCAGGGCTTACCGGAGGAGAGTGCTCATAGATGTTGGTGCTGTAGGGTAGGTTGATGAAGATGGGGTCCATGTCTTGTACATCCGTGATGATGATAGCCAGGTTGGCCAGTGTAGACAGAGGTCTGGTTTTGTCTTGATCCTTGGGAGGCATGCAGAGAGAGAGCAAGAGTGCACAGCATTGGGTATGGATATGCATACATATATACACATATTCATACACCCATACATGTGACCACCCACAAACATACACACCAACTCTTACACTCCACAGAGAGGCTTTGGTGTCCCTGAGACGTTCAAGAAGATGGGAACAGGACAGCCTGGAGATTGTGGTGCTACAACAGAGGCTTGGGCTGAGGCTGAACTGTTGGCCTAGGACTAGCTCTCCCGAATGTCAGGTGGGTGGGACCACCAGCTTGGATGGGAATGTCGCAATTCTTATCACCTTTGCTGTGTTTGTCCAGGGCCACAGCCCCCCATCCCAGAATAGATTTCACTAAGATGGGGCTCCTGGAGAGGCTCCTCTGTGATCTGCTGTATTTGCTAGCCAGTGATTTCCAATCCAACCAGCAGGGGAAGCTCCAGGGCCCATGTCATCTGGGGGCCTCCCGGAAGTAGTGCTAAATGTCTCTGGGACAGGGCAGGAAATATTAAGCCAAGCCATTATACTTATAAACCTGGTTTTATAAAGCCCACTAAGAAAGGGACACCAACACCTGTGTTCTAATGCTCAGCAGACCAAGGTCTGTACAGCTCGGTCCAACCAGATAGCAAGAACCAATAACAACGACGGCTGTTATGTCTGAGGTAGTCCTCATCCCACTTACCCACATGCCCCTACCTTTGCATGTATTGTTATCACAGGCTAGGCTTTTAGATTGCTTCACAGAGACAGAGTCAGACAGACAGACAGGCAGGCAGATTTGTCTATAGTTGCAATACTAAGGAAGTATTTAGAACCCAAGCCTAGGTCATTTTGCATAGGAATATCTGCCTTTAACTGCCTTGATTTTGGTCCTCACAGCAGCCAGTCTCTAGCATACAAGAGAAAGTCCGATAGACCTTTATATGAAATGAAAGGTTCCAGCGAATGGCCCTGATGGCCCCTGGGCTTACAAATCCACCTGGGACTTGAGGAGTATTTGCATCTAACTCGGCCTTGGCTCCACTGGGGCATTTCCCACATTGCATAAAGCCTGGCACTGGCGTCAGGACTCCACAGATGGCACTATGGAGCCCATGGCAGAAAAGATGACCTCGTGGCTGTCCTCGGAGACCTTAGGAGGATTGTCTGAGATGGGAGGGATGGGAGCTGTGTGTGTGTATGCACAGGAAGGAAGGCTATATTCTGGGAAGTCTTGGCCCCTCCCTCCACAGCTCAGGACTGTGGGGAGATTACTGGCAATCTCTCTGTATTCATCCCAGTACAAGCTTGGCCCCTGGATGGACCTGTCCACCCACATTCTACTAATGACCAGCTCTGGTCCATTTGCATGCTGGTAGAGATTATCCCACAGGACAGGGTCTAAAGAAAGGACATATCATCTGCATGCTTCTGGGCCCAGGTGTATACCTGGGATTTAGTGAAAGGGTGAGGGAGGCACAGATATGTAAGTCCCCTCGACTCCCTGCATCAGTTTTATTTTATTTTTTTATTTAGGTCTCTTCTTAGGAAACTGATAAATAACCAGAAGAGAAAATAAGAGGCCTCATCAGGGACCTCCCAGAGAATCACAATATTTGCTTTTCCTGGTTCTAGAGGGTTGTCCGGGTCTTATCCAAGCCCGAGGGAAAAGCTCCATTTTTCAAAGCTCAACCCAGGCCAGATCCAGAAATCTGGCATGTCAGCTGCCACTTAGGGCCTGGGGTTGGCTGTCCCCTCTGCAGCCACATAGGGGCAGGGCAGGGGCCCTGTCTGCAGCAGCGGAGGGTCAAGACTGGGTGCTGTGGCCAGGCTAAGTGGACCACAGAGGAAGAAAGGATCCCATAGTTTCTTTTGCCCTTAGCCTGAGCTCTACACACAGGTCTAAAGGACAACAGAGTGTGCCATCACTTCTAGGTTTGGAGGCCACTGAGGACACAGCTGTGCTCCTGGATGTCAGCTGGAATAAGGGCATACAGGGCTAGGACCCTGTTTAAGGTATGGCTTGCTTAGCCCTCGGCCCCTTACAAACATCTGGCATCAAAGGCCCAGCTGCATGCTGGAGACCTATAGACTCTTGGCTATGGGGCATGGCGGCCATAGCCCAGAACTGAAGTCGGACAACCTGGTTTTGGATTCTTACTTCCCCTCTATTAATCAACTGTGGGAGCCTCAATGTTGCCATCCATAAATGGGCTAAGGTTTATTCCCCTGCCCTGAATAAGTCAGACTTATCTTACAATTCCCTGGGGTTGGGACATAGGCTGGGTATCTGTAAAATGGGCATCTCAACAATATTAATATGGTAGGGCTGTTTGAAGGTTAATAGAAAGTCCATTTGAGTGCTAAAAACAATGCCAGAGACACATGGACACCATCACCAGATTCTTCATTGTAAATCACAGAGCAGCAGGGGGCTAACTCAAGTCTCCTTAGAATACCCGTTACCTTCTGTATGGGAAATGTCAGGCGGTGGGCACTGGAGGCCCAGGGGAGTGACTCACCGTGGCGTTGACTGTGAGCTGGTACGCCTGCGTGACCTCATAATCCAGCTCCTGGATCACAGTGACTATGCCTCGGGCACTGTCGATGGTGAAGAACTGAGACGGGGGCTGGAAGGAGTAGAGGACGCTGCCACCCGCACCCAGGTCAGGATCGGTGGCATTGACGATGAAGATGGGTGTCCCCACTGGTGTGTTCTGAGTGAGAGCAAGGTAAACAAGAGGATGAGTCTCACTTCACCAGAAGCAGCTGCCTCCATCAGTCTCAATTCCTCCTCCCTACAAAGGCCATTAACCATGCTTAGCCGCGCCCCTGCAGCCAACGGACCGACCTGTCATTTCCATTCTGAGTGGCTTTGGAGGAGTGTAAAATGCATGATTTCTCTTTTTCTCTTTTTGATGGCCTCCCGGTGGCTGTAGAGCACTGGCTCCAAAGACGGCCCACTTATCCCAGAGTCCTGGAAGAGGGGCCCTTTGGTCCCCAAACCCATTTCTTAGTGGATTCGCTTCCTTTGTCCGGTGCCCCTTGGCTGCCCAAGCTTCATTAGATTGCCCTGGAGGGTGGCTAGGAACCTGCCTACAGGGACCTGTCAAGGGCAAGAGTGTGTACGGGGGTGTACCTGGATTCAGGTGGGGGCCTTGGAGGCACCAAGGGAAGGGCCATTCTATGCCACCCCTAGGTCTTGGCTGAGTGACAGCAGAATGTAGGTTGCTCAACTGCCTCAACCTCCTAGGAGCCTTCAAGGATGCTGTGACTCCTCCATTCTATCATGGATGTAAGCCCCTGTCCCTTTCTGACGGGGTGGCTGGTTACGGCCACTTCCTCATGAGGCAGGGATGGGGCTTCCACATTCGTCAAGAAGGCTGCATACTGACACTGTTTTTGTGCCACACAGTGAAACTCCCCATCCCAACCTGTATGCCTCGGCCAGCTCTCAGCTTCCCTCAGAGCCTGCATTTCCACAGGCTCTGTCTGTTTTGCCTCTGATGGTGTCCGGCACACAGCCCTAGTCAGTGGACACCCATGTGAGCACATGGACAGATCTCAGCAGCACTAGGTGACTATATTCTGAATGTCTTCCCATATCACCAGCCCCTGGCCACCCTCATCTCGGCAGCTCCTGCTCATCATTGGCTGCATGCATGGGTTTTCCCACACTATAGAAAGCACACAACGGAGGAAGGACACTTGGATAAGGCTCTTTGCACAGAAAGGAAAATAAAACCCCAGCTGGGGAACAGAGGGGCCAACTGGTCCAAAGCCACACAGTGAGGAGATGGAGCAAGGCCTTGGGTTCAAGTGCTGCTGATTCTAAGCACACGATCTCAACACCTATACCACAGCTTCTCTACAATGGCCTTTTCAGATCAACCAGAGCACAGCCACTAAGTTGTTATGGTCCTACCTCAGCTGGCCAATTGTCCTCTATTGGCCACCAAGTGTAGGGCTGACCCCCCAGGAGTCATCTTCCAGTTCTCATCCCCTAGCTGATGGGAACAGCAGACAGGCAGTGGGAAGACCCTCTCCTGTTCGTCATTTGTGGCTCCCTGTTACCCTTGGCACAGAACATCTCACACAGACTGGCCCTGGATTGCTCTTCAGGAATTTCCTAGTTGCATGGAGCCATTTGTATTGCTCCAACCCAGCAGTTCCCTTACGTCTCAGGGCCTTCCTCACTACATCTACCCTCCTCACCTTGGCTTCTTGGGAGACATGTTCTTTCCCTTCAAAGAGAAACCAGTTTGTGGGACACAAGTGGCCAGGTGCTAGGATTTCAGGCCTGGCCAGGACAGCGGTTGGGATTCCAGCCTCACTGTGTATCTCTGGGTTAGTTACTTAAGCTCTCTGTTCCTTAATCCCCTTTATGTACACTAAAGGTAATATTCTTTCATTGGGTTCGTGTTAAGAAGGCAGACCTACAGCTCACTAATGTAAACTTTCCAGCATCTAAGTGCCCAGAAGTAAGAAGCTATGGTTCCCCCATCAGACTACCTGCTAGAACCGTAGAGGCAGGGCCATCAAAGGGTGGGGCAGGGAGGTCTCAAAGAAAGAAATTCAGTATGTCTCAGAAGCACCATACTGGGCATTCCTTGTCTGCCTTCCAAGCCTCTGTACCATAGGGTAGCCCAATCGGCCTACCTGCCTTGCTCCAGACCTGAATTTCTCTTCATGCTGGCTTCCTGGTGAACTTTACCAACTGGGAGTGGGGGTAGGGATGGCAGGAGCTCAGATGGAAGAAGAAAGGCATGCAAGGCCCACACCTTCAGCTCCCACCCTGGAGCCCAGCTCCCTGGGGCAGGCACTCTGAAACACCCTTCCTCTTCCACCCACTGAGCCTTTGCAGGAGGAGGCACAGCCCTCCATGGCCAGCCCCCAAGTGCTTCAACAGCCCTTATCTTCTTCCACCTATTGGCTCCTCCATGTATGCCCCTCAAAGATGCACCGCCTGGGCGGCAACAGAGCCTCTAGGAAGGGAGGCCTAGTAGGAGGAAATTAGGTACTTCTCCCCCTCTCTCCCTTCCCTTCTACTTCTCCTCCCCCTCTCCCTGATTCTTGACCACCATAAAGTGAGCAAATTGCTCAGTCACATGCTTCCCACCATAATGGTCAACACAGGCCCACAGCAGCAGAACCAAGCAGCCATGGGCAGAAGCCTCTTAAGTTGTGAACCCAAATAAACCTTTCCTTCTTCTGAGTCAGTTTCTTTCTTCTCTCTCTTCATGTGAACGTATGTCTGCCCATGTGGTCATGTTCAGATGTATGCATGTGAGTGTGTGCACATGTGTGTGGGGCAGAGGTTGGTACTGGTGTCTTCCTAACTCACTCTGTTTTTAGAGACTAGATCTCTCACAGAACCTGGAGCTGACAGTTTCAGGTAGACAGGCTGGCCTGTGACCCCAGATCCTCTTGCTTCTGCTTCCCTGGCCCCAGGACTGTAGTCACATTCAGCCACATCTGTTTTTGCTTTTGTTTTTGATCTTGTTGCTGCTGCTGCTGGGGATCAAGCTCAGGCCCTCATGTGTATGCAGGAAGCCTTTTCTCCAGCCTTCTTAAAAATGATTTCTTTGGGCATTTTGTCACAGCCCTGGAAAGCCACTAATACACTACCCTCTTGAAAGTGGGCACGTCATTGGAGCTATCAAAGATCTCTTTCCTGTGGGACCCTGATAGTCACAGTCATCTGCAGATCTATAGCTGAAAGATTGGGCTCCCCTGTGCAGGGCTCAGTGAAGCCAGCTCACAATGATGCTCAACCTCAGCCTACAGTTCTACTCCCTACCCCACTCCTCTCTAAAGCATACAATGACAAACACACTATAGAGATGCTATTCTTAGAGGGCACACAGCTCGGCTCAGCAATATGGCCCCACCAGATGCCAGCCTCACAGAGATGATGACATTTCATCTGTCCATGCCTCATGGTCCAGGACAAAGGCTCTTAGGCTCTCTGAACAACAGATCTGGTGAGTTCAGAGTTAGGCTCTCACCTGAGAGGGGAAGAGAAGCCCAGAGAAGCCCTGTTTGTACCTGACCTTGAGTTACATCTCATATAGTGAAAACCCATTTAATTTCTGCATAACTTAGGATTGGTTTTAAATGACCCTGGCAAAAAGCCATTCATAAACTTAGAATGGACAGACATTGGAGAGAAGAGAATGCTGACTTCCTGCACTTCAGGCCCTGGGCGCCATGCTCTACCAAGGATCAGCGTATCCACTGGAGCATCTGCAGCACCAGCTGCTGCTCCATGGTGCACAGGCCTGCAGGCTCAGCACAAGCAGATTCTCAGGGGACAGGCGCATCTGGTCCCTGTAGACAGTGGGCCATGGAGGCTCAGGGCATAAGCCTTGAGTTAGAACTTCTGAATCCATATCTTTCTACCAGGAGACCTCAGGTGTCAGCTGTTTAACCTTTTTGACTTCCATGTCCTGCATAAAATAGAACTGTGAATGGCACTGATTCTTGGGAATGATGTGAGAATTATGAGATGCTCCTTGTTGGACCAAGTGCAGGGCAATGTGCAGTAACACTCAACAAATGGTCCCCGCCTAACATTGCTATTTTATCAATGAAATGGCAACACAGGCAGAGAGATGAGCCCTCCCCCACACAATTAAAAGGAAGATAGCATACAAATGAGTTTCTTCCCTATGAACTTGGACAGGCGCCTTAGGGATGGAGAGATGGCTCAGTGGCCACACCTGATGACTGAAGTTTGATTCTTGGGACTCACGTAATAGAAAGAGAAAGACGACTCCACAGGCGGTCCTCTGCATGTGTGTATGAGTGTGTGGGGTGGGGCACATGTGTGTGTGCCCTTGCCCGCTTGTGTGCACCCAGGCAAACAATTGTAATGATTCTTTTTAACTCAAGTAGAAAACCTGTCCATGTATTGATTCCCGCAAAGATGTAACTGGGAAAGAGCGTAAGGAGACCCTGCTTGTAAGAGGAGGACAAAGTGGGGCCTAAGATGTGGGGTCATCTGAGGCTAAACCAAAATGGTCTGACTACAGACCATTCTGGATGTAGGGGCTTCAAGGAAGCTTTGGGAGGCCATGGCCCTCATTTGACAGATGAGAAGAAGGAGCTCAGAGAAATAAGTTCTGCTCCAGGTCTCACCATGGCTCCTGATGGGTGACAGCAAATCGGGCACGTTGGCTCGTATACAGGCTTTTCTCAACCTCCCACAGATGCATTTGTGCCTCCTCATCCACCCTCCTCCTTAGCTCTGCTCAAGAGATGCAGCCAGGCCACATACCAAGCAACTTCAGAGCCAGGATGTATTTGATTGGTGCAGGGGTAACTACCTGACCTACACAGGCCAAAGAGATGGGGTCTTGGAAATTAAATCAATTTGCTAAGGGAAACCTTTAATGTAAAGATTTTGCCATCCACTTAGGGTTGGATGGGCATATGCATGTGAGGGGAACCCCCATTAAGGAAGGGAGGCTCTCTGAGTCCATCTACACTGGTCCTCACACACCCCTTTGGCCACTGTGTGGGACCCGACTTGTGAGATGTGTCTGGTGGACACCTTGCTCTCTGGGTCTTAGCTCTTTTCTCTCATCTGACACCCCTAGAACATACATCAAACATGTGCTCTTTGTTGCCAGACACTGCCACAGGCTCCCCTGGGAGTCTTCCTGTTAGCATCACAGTCAGCACAGAGAGCCAAGTACCAGGCCACCACTCCTAG